ACGATGATTTGTATATTGTGGAGATTTGTAAGCAATGAATAAGCTACCCTGCTGCTTCACTACTAGAGCGGGATGTGTCGGTGTGAATGAGTGTGTGACCGAAAGAGACGGATGGCGAGAAACAATAAACGTAAATCTGACGTCAACTCTCACTTATGTAGCCAGAGCTGAGTGATCAAGTGATATTGTTTTGGCTGATATGTAGCAGCAAATAGTGATATAAAACAAACACTAACAGAAAGTGATGCTGCCCAGGTGTCTGCAGCCTTAAACGCTTATGTTGTTTCTATGAACATGATCGTGTCCAAACTGTCTAACTTGGCCTTATTTGTTTCATGAACGGCTTGAGTTGTCTTTTTGTACGAAAGGGGCATTTAGTCTGTTTCTCTTCATCAAAGCACTAACTGATTCAGTCAGGCCACTCTCTCCTGTCTTTGGAGAATCAGATGAAGTACTTTACAGAGTTGCCGTAAAGATGTACATATTTTTGTAAAGAAATCATTTTTGAAACGGTCGATTTACATGTTTCTGTGTCAAATGAATGGGAGATGTGTGTTTGTGTGTAGGTTGCATGTGTTTGACTGTTGGGTGAACCATGATGGTTAATGTAACTGGATTCTGTGCAATTCTGTAGAACGTTAGGTGTATTTATTGGGTAAGGATGAGCTAGAGTTTTCTGTTTAGTTTCAGATTTGATTATTTATGTTCTGGCAAATGTGGTGATTCACTTGTTCATTTCAGAAAGCACATTTATGTTTTGTTTTTTTTCCTTTTACTGTTTCCATGTTCATGTTAGTAGATTTTGTTTTTCTCCCAAATTCTATGATTATGGATCGGTCCCGAGTGACAGGATTAGAAAAATAAAATCATTTTTACGTACTCTCAATTATTTCTCATCATCACTGAATTTTATTGAGTTCTATCAATTACATACAGTTGTAATCAATTATTCAACCCCATCGCAAATCAGTTTTATTGGCAAAATTTAGACTTTTTACTTTTCGCCGCGTTTTCACCGCAGGAACTTTCCCCAGGAACTAGGAACTTTGGGGTGGTACTCGGTGTGTTTACACCACAGGAACCAGAGTCTGAATGAAGCCCCCCCCCCCCCCCCCCAAACGGAAGTTGAAGCCTCGCGGGAGCTGCCATCTTGTAGCAGAACTTCACTTGCGTTAGCATTCCCATTGACTCCAATTCATTTTGGCATCACTTTGACGGTGAATAACTTTACATCTGAGGCGTTTGAAGACCCCATTTGTCCTGTATTTATTTCTAAAGAAACACGACAATGTATAAAATGCTCCATTACCTTGTAGCTTATGTTATGGCCCCGTAGAAGCAGTTTTAGTGAAAGTAGGCTAACAATTGCGTTATACCCACGCGACTCTCTGTCGCACAGTAGAGCGATTACGGTATGGACAGGAGGAGAAGCTCGCGAGCAATCGGGGAAACGTGGAGGCAAAATGACAAAATAGTTGATCAGAATACCTAGCAAAATTGTCTCCTGCTCCTCGCTCATGGACCGCGCCTACTCACACTCTCCGCCTCTGCATGTTTCGGAAGGGAATGATTCAGATTTCTCATGCCACAGCCACTAGAAGACAATCTCGTCACATCTACGTCGTCAAGCTCTGTTTGAGTCTGCGTGCCAGGGACAGAAGTGCTAAAAAATCGCCAAAAACGGGCTTCAATCGTCTCAATGGAGTTCCAATGAGATCGCTCTGTCCACTTCTTATATTGTCTATGCTGCTATGCTATGAGGTAGTACATTTTCAGAGTTCGGGAACTTTCGGAGTGGGACTTTGGCACTGAACATGCTGATTGGTTCTTACCACTTGTTCTTTCTGCCCGATTGCGCGTGTTCGTCCCATCCATCTCATGGTCATAGTCCGCTGATAACAAACATCTACTTTTAGTTTTATATCTAGCGTTACGGGCTTTCTTAATACGTTTTTAATACTTAGTCTGTTTTCTGCCGTTTTTGTTAATTACCTTGCTAGTAAACCAATCGCACACAAAAGCAGCACAGCTTGAATCTCCATTCAAAACTCAAAACAAAAACACGCAGACTACATAATCTTCCCGCCCCGGACCGGTACTTTTGTCCGCGGTGTAAACGCAGTAAGTAAGTGGTCTGGGACAAATAGTTCCGGTAATTGCAGTGGAAACGTGGCTTTTGTTTGATTTGTTAATTGCAACCAGCTGAATTGAAATGACTCTACACAAATGTTTCAAGCGGGTTTCAAAATTTAGACTTTCGGCTGTTTGCAATGAACAGATAAAACAAAAGTAATTGAAATGGCTCAACACAAATGTTTCAAGTTTACCCAAATTCAACTGAAAATGCAACTTTTAATGACTTCTGCAATCTCAAAATTATTCAACCCCTTCATGGCAAGCATCTTTAATAGTTGTTCGAACACCCATTTGCAGTTAAGACCTGCTGCAAACGAGATGCACGAGACGAGACAACAGCCTGTTGTCAACAGAATCTCAGCCCATTCCTCATGAGCAGTTCAGTAATATTTTTGGGTTTGTGTGCTGAAACCGCCACATTCAACTCCCACCAGAGATTTTCTAAGGGGTTCAAGTCAGATGACTGTGATGGCCACTGTAGAATCTTCCAGGACTTCTTCTGAAACCAAGCCTTGGTGAAATTTGAAGTATATTTGGTATTATTGTCCTGTTGGAAGGTCCAATGACCCCCAAGTTTCAGCTTATTCACTAACGGCATGACGTTTTCTCCTAGGATTTCCTGAATCCATCTTGCCTTCCACATGCTGCATGTTTTTATTGCCAGAGGATGCAAAGCGGCCCCAGAGCATCTATGCTTAAAGGCTTAGTTCACCCAAAAATGAAAATTAAGTCATTAATTACTCACCCCCATGATGTACCAACCCCGTGAGTTCAAGAGATTTCCACGACGCATGCGCGAGAACTGAACAAGAAGTAGTAGAAAAATAAACGTAGTTCTCGCGCATGCGTCGTAGAGATCACTTGAACTCTCGTCTCAGGCCCAGAAGGAAGAAAATGAATAGTCAAATAAAGTCTTTATTTTTGTTGTCATTTTTTTCGCACAAAAAGTAGCCGCTGTAGTCTCATGGAATATTTAAACATTTTCTTCAAGTTTCGATCCCTTAGGCAGCCTATGCAGCAGTGAACCACCTCTCAAATTTAATCAAAAATATCTTCATTTCTATTCCGAAGACGAACGAAGGTCTTACGGGGTTGGTACAGCATGGGGGTGAGTAATTAATGACTTAATTTTCATTTTGGGGTGAACTATCCCTTTAACTGTAGACAGAGTGTTCTTTTCAGCATATGCTTCATTCTTCTTCCTCCAGACATACCGTTGATCCATAAGATTCGTTTAATCACTCCACAGAACTGAATCCAGAATCAGCTCTGTGGATTATTTATTTGACTTTTCTTTTGCATTTATGTCAGTAGTGGTGTACATCTTGGAGTTAGTACACACCTTACGCCTGTCGCCATCAAGTCTTGCTGCAGGTATTTTGCAGTCACTGGAGGGTTTTTCCGATCGTGCCTTCTCAGAAATCTGGTTGCAGTCGTTGATAGCTTCTTTAACTATTTAACTTTGAACTTGCAAACTATGCTTCCAACGGTGTCTCTAGGGTGCCTTGGCTATCTTTTTGTATCCTGTTCCTTGTTTTAAGGTGAAGATGACATATTCTCTTATATTTTTGGACCGTTCTTTTGACTTTTTGACATTTCTAACATGCAGTCAAACGTGACACTCAACAAACCTCGCCAGGTCCGATATTTCATCTGTTCTAGCTCAAGCACACATTAATGAAGCCCTTGATTAGTTGCATCAGCTGTGCTGTTTTGCAGATTTCTGCTGTTGTGAGGGAGTCTATTCTGTGAAGTTGAATAATTTTGAGACCGCGCAAGTCATTAAAAGTTGCATTTTCAGTTGAATTTGGGGAAACCACTTGAAACATTTGTTGTGTTGAGCTTATGAGCTATTTCAATGACTTTTGTTTGATTTGGTCATTGCAAAAAGCTGAAAGTCAACATTTTGTCAATACACCCGATTTGCATTGGGGGTTGAATAATTTTGATTACAGCTGTACATTGTATCAGCTTTTGTTGCCATTTTTGCATGTCCATATCCATGATTTCTTGCCCAGTTCACACTGTTCCCATTCAAAAAGTGCATCTTTGAATGTGTGGGAGAAGTCATATTTCACCACTACATAAAAATTAAAAAGAAAGATTGCAATTTTCATTATTTTGTTAGATTCTCATCAATGTAGATTCTCATTAAAGTAATTAAGGAGTCTTAACAGTCATGAAAAATGTTAGTTTTCTGTAGGCAATTTGTTGTTGTTGAGTAAAATATGACCCAGACATGTTCTTGATGCACTGCATGAGCTTCAGCCTTCTGTAGACCATTTCACAAGATGTAAACAACACTGGTCCAGAAGCACTTCCTGTTTCAGTTTGTAACTGTTTTCTTTATTTCACATGTAAAGAAAACATCTTAAAGATGTTTGTTTAACTTTCTGATTCAGTTTTAAATGTTCTGTTGGTTGTATTTTATCCCAGCTTTTATGTAGTGTCAAAAAACTGAAACAGGAAGTGCTTCCCCAGATAGCAAACTGACATTGAATCAACGTGGAAATATGACATCGAAACAACGTTGATCTGACATTGTTTTGCTCATCGAATTAACGTTGAACCAACGTCAGACGCGTCATTCTTTCAAAACTAACGGAAAATCAACTTGAAATCAACGCGTTGTTTCAACGTTATGAAAGCAAACCAATTTTCGATTTTCATTTAGCTTTGAAGAATGCCGCGTCTGACGTTGGTTCAACGTTAATTCGATGAGCAAAATCAACGTTGTTTCAATGTCATGAGCGACGTCGTTTCCACGTTGATTCAATGTCAGTTTGCTGTCTGGGTCTGGACCAGTGTTGTTTACATCTTGTGAAATGGTCTATAGATGCATTCTAGAAACAAGACGCATGATATCAAACCATATTACAGACACACTTTAATTTGAAACTCAATCTTGTAAACAATTAGGAGAATTTAACACAATATCTGATGTGCCTCTGTGTCTTTAGAGAAGTTAGACAGCCATGGTTTTATATTATATGTGGCAGTGTTTGAATGCTGGCAAACCTTTTTTATTTTCTAATGGACATAATCCATAAGAGTAAGGTAAGTTGTTACAAGAGGATGCATCTTGTACACCCATAATACCTGAAACTATGTATTGCTCCTGTTGTTAGACATGGAGCGCTAGCCAGTAATTAAATAAACCAGCATCTGGACTTGTTCAAAGCTCAAAATGATTAGACACCACAGGTCAAATTACGAAAGCATGTCCGCTAACAAGCTTTGTTTTGATTGTGTCTCATGTGTGCTTGGCATGAAGCATTTCAGTCAGCAGGGAGTTGCAGGGCAGATCTCCCAGAAGGTGGCGCTGATACAGATATTCCTCGACCTGCAGGCTGATGCTGCGCACCTCTGGCAGACGGAGCAGCAGCTGTCCAAACTTGTCCGAGTGACCTGGGTGGGTTTGCATAGTGTGGTCCATCAACGCCCTGTTTACACGCTCTTGAGTTTGTTCTACCTGCCTTCGGTCCAGTACTGATTTAACATCTGCAAAACAAATGACCCTTACAACTCTGGGCCAACAGGAATTGTTTAGATTCAAAATTTGGGAATGAACAGAAAACCCACCTGGATTGAAGAGAACCAGATATTTGAGACACACAAACTCCTCTCTGTCCAGCTGCAGTGACCTAAGCTTGGAGACAAGGTCCTGGGCTCTGGATACTAAACTACTGAGGGTTACTCCAGCCTGACTGAGGATGGTCGATACCTCTATCTGGTACAAAAAGAAGTTGAAAGACTCCTAAACAGTCAATAAACTGGGTAACTATGGTGTAGTCGTGTTTCCCAACCCTGTTTGTGGAGGCAATTCATAGTAGAGGTATTCTCGGGTCCCGAAAACCGTACCCGACCCGAATCATTAGGCTACTTACCCGAACCCGATGTGCATAAATTATTTTTATTTTTTTTTAAATAAAAACCCGACCTGAGACAGACCCGATAAAATTAGACCCGAGTCCGACCCCGACTGGACCCGAAAGTAAACGGCATTTACATTGTGCACAGCCTGCAGCCCTGTGTTTCTCAAAAATGCACTTACTTAGACACGTAAGTGTAAGCGCGCTGAGTGCTAAAATGTCAATCACTGTAACCCATTACGTCCTATAAAATGTGGCAATGTTATTTACCGGACCATACGATGATCAGGGTAAAATTTACATATGGCTGTTTTAAAAATGTATAACCGATTTTCAATCAAATTCTCCCAGTCATTGACTTTTACTAAAATTGTGTTATATAGCCTACAATTGACTTTATGCACAGCTGCACTACTTCCTGAACTTAAGCCAGCTCCTTGTTTCCTGTCTGCCATTATTGGCCAAACTTGATTAATTCAGGTGTGTCTGATTATTGTTGCCGTGACTTCTGAGGTCAGGCACACCTGAATTAATCAAGTTTGGCCAATAATGGCAGACAGGAAACAAGAAGCTGGCTTAAGTTCAGGAAGTAGTGAAGCTGTGCATAAAGTCAATTCCGTTGTTACAAAGTAGTTTAGATAAAATTCTATTAAAAACAGGGCATTAGAACCGCAGTAGCAGGTAAAATTGGACGTTCTGAATCAAATCTTGTAACGTTATTGCAATCAACCCATTTAACTGCACCAGTCTTTTTTCCTTTCTTATCAACAATGATCACAAAAGTTGCCCACACCGATGACGACCCTGGATGTTTCTGTTCTACGTATTGGTTTTCCCTCACCTTTTTCGCAATATCTGTTATCGCCTCCATGCTTGTCTGACAGTGTCGCGTATTTTTAAAATTGATTGACAGGCCTGGCTTAAGACAATTTAAATACTTGCATGTAGTCAAACATCCATCCACATGATGGCGCACTAGTTCTTCTTGGCAAACGGAGGGGTTTGTTTATGTGGAGCGAGCAACTGAGTAAATAAATGCGGAGGCAACCGCGCTTATGCTTATAGCCCATTGCACGTAAAAGCGTGGATTTGCTCTCTCACTTAAAAAAAAAAAAGAGAATGGTGTCATAGAGTTGTTTTAAATACTGTGATTTTGTTAAATGCCCAACATAGTTTAAAATGATTCGGGTCTTCTCGGGTCCATTTGGAAAAGGCATTTTTATTTTAAGTTACCCGAGGCCACTAATACCGAACCCGACCCGTGTCCGAGACACTCGTTGGAGTTTTGGACCCGAACCCGCTCTGGTCTCAAGTCGGACCTCAGGTTTTCAGATCCAAGTGGACCCGTGAAGATCTCTAATTCATAATCCCTGATTCAACTGATCGGTATTTTAGAAGAGACTCCAAGGCCTGAAATAGACATGTCAGATTAAGAGAGACACCCAAAATGTGACCTGTTGGTGTGCCTCCAGTAACAGGATTGAGAAACACTAGTGCTGTAAAAGGTGTCCGTACCTGTTGTCCAGTAATCAGGCAGATGCTGCCATCTCTTCCATAGGACACCTGCCTGCATAAGTGATCCAGGATGAGCAGCTCACTCCAGCAGCTTTGCAGTAGTCCCATTTGATCCTCCACCTGCAAGAGATCAGGTAGTTATGCAGCAGTAGCCAACTGGCGGGCATTGCCTTGTGAAAGAGTTACAAAGGTTAACTCCATCCATGCTGAAAATACAAGCATGTACGTTGTTCTGGATCCCAGTCCCATGCATGGGATGCTACAGTAGTAGACAAGTTTTGCTGGTGGACAGCAGGGCCACGCTGCTCCGCTAGTTAGACCAGCATCTGACCTGCACTAAACCAGGTTGGAGCAGTGACTAAGATTTTTACCAAGTAGGACAAGTTTCTGAATCAAAACTTTAGGGATGTGGAAAAGGATCGAGTTAAAGTTAGACTAGAGTTGGGGTTAAAGATGCTTACCATTCTTATCATCTAACATTTTTTAAGGTTATGGTATGTTTAGATTTAGGGAAGGGCTTGTTTCTTTGGCCCTGTTTACATCTGGTATTAAGGTCGATCGGATCACGAGTAGGCGAGGCAGACACATTCCTGTTTGGTCTCTTTAGTCCAGTTTCAACCACTGCCGTCCTGATTTCTTCGAGGGGAGTGTCTATGGCTTATCTAATGGACCAAATAAGCTCACGAAATTTACATCTGAGTGTGACCGGAGACATCTGAAAAACTTGGAGAACTTCCGCTTTTGTTTCTTCTCTGACAGCCACAAGATGCCACCAAACACTGTGAATGTGTTAGTGTAACCCCTAACCTCGAACCTGGGTCTCCGGCATGAGAGTCAGGCGCTCTAACAAGGAGGCTAAAGACTGCAGCCTCTAGCGTCTGTCGCTAGAGCGCCTATTGAGATCAGGGGAGTGAGGTTTACTCGCACAGCAACTACTAGCTGGCCTCCGTTACACTCACCCCCCTAAACCTCATTCTCATCCGGGTCACGGCACCAATGTAACCCCTACACCCGGGTCCTACTCGACCCGCTCCGAGCAGGCCTCGAACCCAGGTCTCCGGCATGAGAGTCAGGCGCTCTAACAAGGAGGCTAAAAACTGCAGCCTCTAGCGTCTGTCGCTAGAGCGCCTATTGAGATCGGGGAGTGAGGTTTACTCACACAGCAACTACTAGCTGGCCTCCGTTACACTCACCCCCTTAAACCTCACTCTCATCCGGGTCACGGCACCAATGTAACCCCTACACCCGGGTCCCACTCAACCCGCTCCGAGCGGGCCTCGATCCCGGGTCTCCGGCGCTCTAACAAGGAGGCTAAAGACTGCAGCCTCTAGCGCAGGGGTGCCCAATCGTGCTCCTGGCGATCGACTGTCCTGCACAGTTCATCTCAAACCCTAATCAAACACACCTGAAGTAGCCAATTAAGGTCTTTAGGATCACATTCAGCTGTGTTTGATTAGGGTTGGAGATGAACTGTGCAGGACAGTCGATCGTCAGGAGCAGGATTGGGCACCCCTGCTCTAGCGTCTGTCGCTAGAGCACCTATTGAAATCAGGGGGGTGAGGTTTACTCGCACAGCAACTACTAGCAGGCCTCCGTTACATTAGAAATCAGGAATGGTGAGAGAACTTTGTGCTTGGTATGTTTTTCATCTTTAAACCAAACTCGGGTCTTCAGCCGGACAAAGTTTAAATCCCATCTGGCTAGCATCCCATAAAGTTTGTGCATTAGGTTAACAGACATAGACATGCGCGGGATTTAAACTTTGTTGGCTGAAGACCCGAGTTTGGTTTAAAGACTAAAAAACATACCAAGCACAATGTTCTCCTGATTTCTAACACACTGATTTCTAACTTGACTACCTCTGGGGTCTTTTGTGGCTGCTCATGAACATTCATGAACACTACGAAAGTTTTCTGGTCAAATGCGTTTTCAACAACCTCTGGAAGTGTTCGAAAGTGGACAAGGTCAAAATGTTTTAGAGCAAGTTTACACCTGTATTTATTGTCAGTGACAGGATCCGATCAAAAACGCGTCTTAATACCAGGTGTAAAGAGTGCCTGTAAAAAAAATGATGTTCAAGGAAAAGTGTGGGATCATGTGCAAACTCTTCTACCTTAAGCTCCTTAAACAGTGTGCTGTTTCTTGCCCACTCCACCAATCCAAACAAAGTCTGGTCAGCCATTTTGCACATGATGCTGAAGGTGTTGAGACGGTCATGTTTTCCTCGGCAGGCTTGTTCTCTTTGGAGGCTTGCTAACACCCGCATGCAGAGCTGCTTCTCATCTGGCTCGGCTTGCAGGAGCTGATTTAGGAAGCAAGAACTAGGGGTTGGGGTTGAGGTGGGCGTCAAGCTTTGTGCTGGAGTTGGGGTAGAACTTGGAGTTGAGGTTGGTGTGGGTGCAGGTGCGAGTGTTGAGAGAACTGTTGGAGAGGTTGGATCAGGGGGCGTCACAGAAGCAGGACTGTAGATGAACGGGAGCTCTCTTTTCTCAGGAGGGTATGTGTGGAAGCCTGGGTAGCACAGTGTGTGAAGGGGTATGGATGCATCAGACAGAGTCCGGTCTCTGGGCATGGTGCAGTCCAACAGCATGGGGAACTCGGACTGGCTCATACTGGGATGAAAGGACTGAGGTGGGTGGTAATGATCAGAGCCGAGAGAAGCAGGGGAGGGGTTGAGGACATGACAATCATGAGACACAGCTGGTACCAATGCTTGTGGTGGTCCCTCAATTTTGATCCTGTAGGGGGCAATGTGTGCCTGGTGGTGGCTCCCTCTTTGCTGTTTCAGTTGCCTCTCCCTTCGGTATAGAGGTCCAAACTTGTTTCGCCCACCTCTCATTCTGTCCGCACGTACAGCTGAGACAAGTGATTTCATACGTAAATATTTCGCACATCATGATTTTCACAGCTACTCAACCATAAATTCTCAGAGAAGTAGCGGTGTCTCATGACGAAGACTGTGCCCTCCACAGGTCGCATTTGTCGCCCGTGTACGTCATCGAGGATGTCTAATTTTTATTGTCTTACTTTAGGATATTATGGTTACTTTTCTCAAATGACGTATGTAGGGACAAATGCGGCCTCTGAAGCGCACACCCTTTGAAATGAGACGCAGTAAATGTTTCCCATCCCTGTTTCTGAAGGCACACTGGGGTTACGCTTACACGACAACGATGCAGTTGGATTTGCTTTAAGAGGGCTTTTTTGATCACTTAGAATATAGAAAACGACACATGCATCAAGACAATATCAATTTAAGTTCCTCACCTAGTCCTAACCTATCATTTGAAGCAAAAATCCACCCTTCTGTCCTTTTAAATGTCCGTGTTAAAAGAGCACATTCAGCCTTTTAGTGAAGCTCCTGCTGAAGCCAGCCTATATGTCCAACGACCAACGTAGGCATGGCGTCTTCCTTCATTTTTAATTTATAGCTGCTGTTTGAATGTTAGTTTAGTAAATTTATTTGCGATCAAATATTCAATGTCTCCACTCTCCATGGATAAATCAGCAGTAGCAGTTCAAACTAATATCACATAATTTACGTCTTGTCGATGATTGGTTTGTATCCACAAGTTTCCTACGCCCCATGAGGCCTTGCGTCACAAGTGGGCGCGACTTCCGGTTGGAAGTAAACAAAGCGCGATTTGACATGCTTGACACTCGTTCATTCAACAGTTGACAGTCATTCAAGTTATAGCGATCCAAACTAGCTAACGATGTGGGAACACAACCTCAACGAAATTCAAAAGGGTGAAATAACAGTACCTTTACCCTCCGCAGTAGTTGATTGGGAGTATTATAATAACATTATTAATAATCAATACTCATCAAGGCATGGTGACAGACAGTTGTGCGAGCTGACAAACAATTAAAATAAAAAATACACACTTAGTCATTGTGCTTTGGAGTTCAAAATTATAAATGAATGTGCTACTTGAATACATTAACTGGCACATTTGGTATTTTGTCACAGGCTTTAATCCTGAGTTTAGCTGTAACATCAGTAGAGAACAGCCAAACACATGCTGATAGAGTTTATAGAATATTAAGAATTTAAACAAATGTACACAGGAAGATTCGTCGTCTTTTGGGAGGTGATGGAAACTACAGTCGTTGGCAGGATCACTCTGATTTCGTTTTCAGCTTATGTTCAAAACAATCCCGTTTAAGCCACTAAATTAGTTTAGTCCGGTTATACATACAACCGCGAACAGCACATGATGTCCCTGAGCTCCGTAACGACATCTCTCATAAAGATTTGCGTCTTTAAAGAGTAAAATAATTCTCCGAAAAACAGCTAGCCTCTTCGCTAACTAACACACAAAATACCATTGGAATGCTACTTCCGCCGCGTCACCGGAAGTTTCACCCACTTTATTTTTTACAGGAGCGCCCCTCGGAAACTTGTGGATAACAAGGGAGGCTTGCCTCCTCTGCCATGTTTATTTTGTCAACACTCCTAATTTCTGAAAGTGAAATACTCGATGGTGATTGGCTATTTTTTTCAACCAATGGAAGCACAAGTTTCTGACTATGGATTTGCCTTCCCTGGGCCCCTCCCTCTCTCTATCCCCTCCCCTATGACACCATCAACTCCTCATCTCATTAGTAGTTTCCAAACCCAGAAATGGATGTGTTCGATAAGAAAGACATCCAAACTGTGGACTGTTGTTGTGCCTCCGGGAAGAGGGTAGGGGAAAACTTGCTCTAAATGATGAAACTGACACTTTAAAAAAAAAAAAAAAAACTTAAAGAAATATAGACATTGCAGAAAGATACTGGCATAATTAAACTTTGTTTTTCCTTGTGCGCACATTACATTTTCACCTTACTGGCCCATCCAAAATTGCAATTGCAGTGGTTTATGGTTTTATAGATAAGTGGAATCAGAGCTATCTTGAATATCTTTGGAAACAACAACTGCATTTTCCTTGTGCATCTTAGGACTTGAGCGAATACGTTGTATACAAAACTTAATGATCATGCACTATGTACTGTAGCCATACCTTCTTTCTTCATGCCAACAGCTAGACATTTCTGAAAGCGGCACGAAGGACACCGTTTCCTCTGTGCCGGGTCCATGGGGCAGCTCTGTGCCTCTGCACACATATACCGCTTGTTGTTCTGTACAGAGCGCTTGAAAAATCCCTGGTGAGAATATTAGACTTTACTACTAAAGAATGATAAGGGTGTGGAGGTTATGAACTGAAAGCTGCATACTTGTCTCAGTCTCGCTGTAGCGCTTACCTTACAGCTCTCGCAAGTGAGTAGACCATAGTGATATCCTGACACCCTGTCACCACACACAGGACAGCCCTCTTCTTGAGTTGTCCTATTGTCTGGGTCTGGCTTTAACTCCTGAACTATAGGAGATCACATTAACTGTGAAAGCCAATGCCAACTTAAAACAAATGCAAGTCTTCTAGAAACAGCAACTGGAAATCAAGTGGCCTACTGTAAGGTGATTGTCTACCAGTGGGGTTGAACAGTTTTATGACCGGTCTGTCTGATAAATCTATTATATCTCAAACAGGCCTAGTCTGTTATCACGCGATTGATTAAACGTCGAGATATAGGGCTTACATAATCCTTCCTTACATTTTAATGTTTTCAGCAGTCTAAAGAAATAAACTGACTTCTGAAAAGTACTTTAGATTTGATAAAGAAATTCGATTCTATGTAAACAATTCTATACTTCAATATGCATACTAAACATGACTAAACCTGATCAAATCATATGTCAATGATTTTCTATCCCTAAACGATCGGATAGATTTAAAACGAGTTAGTCGGTGACTTTAAAAGTTTACTACACCCATTTTAGCAATCGCTAAAACCATTAAAGTGTCTCCGATCCGAAGCTCTACTTACATGTTGACGGTCCCTCTTGTGACGCAAGGTCCTGTGTGTAATCGGCAGAGTGGAGGGCTGTGGGGGGATCCAGGGGATAGTTTGAGATGTTCATGGTCCACCATAGGAGAGGGGCGGCATGGGTCACCGTAAGCAGTCATTCATAACTGTGCGGGCCTCCGGGACAGGGAGGAAAACAGGCACACACTCGGGCTGTCTGAGAGATGGTGCTGTGTAAAGGCCCTCAATCGGACTTTGCTCCATGTTGAGGGTAATAAACCTGAGTCTGTCACACCTTCCCAACAAGCCAGACCTCATTCACGCTGGAGACACGCTCACCATAAGAAAATAAACGCACACAGATCTGATGCTAAAATACTATGGACATCGATTCATGAAATACGATTTTTTTTTTTTAGCATTTGTTTATCAGACCAGCCCAATTACAGAGCCCATGTGATTCCCAAGTGTTGCGTCAACTGCATTTAAAGTCATTGCAGTCCTAAATACATGTATAAATGTAAGTGTGTTTTCAGTTTTTCAACGAACAGTATTTATATCATTTTTACCTCTTGTAACCACAGCCACGGTCAGGTGATCTGCGGGCGCAATCCCTCGCGCGTGTACGTCACTCATTGTGTACACAGATATTTTGGAAGAGTTACCTTTCACTGTGAAGATCTAAACATTTAAATAGAAAATCAAAATGGAAGATGATTTCAATATATAAATTTTTTTCGCTTGCGCAGACCGAAGCGTCACCAGATCACTTGGTTACAAGAGGTAAAAATGATATAAATACTGTTCGTTTTCTCACAGAAACCGCTCGTTTCTTGTCTTAGGCCATCAATGTGTATTTACATTTACGAGTCATTAAATCATGTTTAATTTGGACTTCTCTGTGCATGCTCCTTGAGGTGGTGACCATAGACCTCCATTATATGACTGACAGACACAAACGGTTTGACCTAAAAATATCAAAATTGAAAATACTGCGGAAACAAAGACACCTACATCTTGGATGCCCTTGAGGTAAGCTAAAACATACCAAAAATTAATTTCAAAGTGAACTGTCCCTTTAAATTGTTAATCTCTTCTTATTTAAAGATAGTCCATCACCTTTGGAATCAAGGAGCCTAATGTGATGAAGAAAGCTGGTAAGTTCAGTGATATGGGTCTGATGTAAAACAACTGAACCAAAAAAAAAAAATCTGTTTAATGCTTATCTATCATAATATCTGCAGCATACAACACTGTAAAATTATATGACAAGTTTTGACAATGTGTTTTTTCATTGCTACCTCATCAAAATAAATATTTTTATAAGTTATAAAAAAAATTCAACTTAGTTGAACAGTCAGTTTAATGTAATGATTTACATTTAAACACAGTGCATTTAAAGCTTAAAACTATCATTACTAAGGATCAAAGCAAGCTGCTTCGTTATTATCATTTTGTTTTTTCTTTTTGTTTATGTAATTGTGAAGCGTATATTAATCAAAGATGCAAACATGTCACTAGGTGGCACTATAATACACAGTTTTACTCTGTTGATAATAATTGAAAGCTTCTACATATGGATTGTTTGTATATGTACAGCCTAATGATTTACCTGATTCTTATGACACTTTCAGGTCAATTTAAAACGAATTGAGCACTTTATTGATGTCTGAGACAATTGTACTAGAAATGCCTGTATCAAATAATGATGTATGTCCAAAAACTGGCATACTGCAGTAATTTACTTACTTAAATATATTATGTAATGAAACTATAAAGCATAGTTCTATATACTTAAAGAAACGTAAGTAAATTGGGCCTGACCCCAGGGCAATGCAACCAGCATTTGAATTCATTGGAGTCTCTTTTTAAAGGGTAAAAAAGCTCAAGCTCAAGTCTAGCTCTCAATCTTTTTGAAAAATGCAACTTAAATGGGTGTGGATAGCTGTGATAAGAAGGGAAGGAGTGGGTGTGGTATGGCCATCACTGTCATATCGACTGTCACTAAAAAGCATTGGTAAAATGTGAGGAAATGCTAGATTATTTTATATAGCTGGCAAAGTTAAAGTCTTTATGGTCCTTTCAAAAGTTACTGAATGTCCTGCTACATATATTTGCCTACAGTAATCGTAATTCTATTTATAACATATTAGTGTAGGCTACATGTATAATTATAATGTTATTATATAATATACAGTGGTGTGAATAAGTGTTGGCACCCATGCTAAAGTTGCCTAAAATGAGGAATAAAAAAATCATCTTTTGGATTTTGATCTTAATGCCTTAATTAGGGAAATGAGGAAAACTCCAACCTTTAAGGACACAAATTTTCTTTGTGAATGAACAATGTATCTTAAATAAATAAATGTTTTTCCTTAAAATACAGGGTGCATAAGTCATTGCCCCCCTATGTTAAATTCCCATAGAGTCAGGCAGATTTTTATTTTTAAAAGCCAGTTATTTCATGGATCCAGGATAATATGCATCCTGATAAAGTTCCCTTGGCCTCTGGAATTAAAACATCCCCACATCATCACACACCTTCCACCACACCTAGAGATTGGCATGGGGTACTTACTTTCCATAAGATCATCTTTCAATGCAAATCAAACCAGCTATTAGGCTAACTGAAGTAAAACCATTCATATCAGGATGCATATTATCCTGGATCCATGAAATAACTGGCTTTTAAAAAATAAAAATCTGCTTGACTCTATGGGAATTTAATAGGGGTGCCCTGACTTATGCACCCTGTATTTTAAGGAAAAACATTTATTTATTTATGATACATTATTCATTCACAAAGAAAATTGGTGTCCTTAAAGGTTGGAGTTTTCCTCATTTTTCTAATTAAGGCATTAAGATCAATATCCAAAAGATGATTTTTTTTATTCCTCTTTTTAGGCAACTTTAGCATGGGTGCCAACACTTATTCACACCACTGTATAGTGGTTTATATAGACACTATATATGCATTCGAAAATGATAAATTTTCCGCTTTAAAAAATCCTTCCTTGCATAGCCTATCTACGCGCCCCCTGAACCCCCATAATAAAGATGGCTCTGCGGAGGTGGATGACATCTCATTTTAGACACACACACACCTCTGAAGGGATGGAAAAGTCCTCGGGACCTAATATTATCGCATCACTCGCAAGACGCAACTTGGATTAGTTGTCAACCAGGCAAAGTCCACCATTCTCCACTTCTCGCAGCTCTCTCGAGAAAATGTTTGTGGCATGGTGCACTATAGTTTAGATCATAGACTGTTTAGATGTGTCCGAGGTTGAGATGTGTCCAACCGTCCAGAGCCAGAGTCTAGCCCTGGCAGCATCGCTGGAAAACATATTCAACCCACTTGGACTTTTGCGCCATGAAAACAAACACTTGCGTCCATGATTGCCTATCTCACGAAAAAACTCAAATTTAACCATTTTAACCCTACTATTAAATCTAACAGATGCTAACATTGTCTTCAATGGTGTTCAACACACATACCTCTGTTAAAATCTCTCTCCCTTTAAAACAATCAGTGCGGCAGTAAATGTCCACAGCCTACAGTTTAGTAAGGGTTTGCATATTTTCAGTGCAATTTTTTTGTGTGCGACTGCATCCACAGCATATAGTCTGTCAAATTTAGCAATTGTGGCCATTTTTTAACCTGCACTGGCTAAACAATATATATTAATTGTAAAAAAAATAAAAATAATAATACAATACACAAGATGTTTAAAATTATGTTTCTGTTTTATTTTTTAAAACATATAAAATGCTTATAGAAAAAATACCATTCTTTCATGTTTGACATTTTTCTAAGACAAATAGGATCATTTTTTTTAAACGTTTGCCCTTTTCCTTTTTTTAACGTTCTCCATTTAAATTGTATTTATAGTAATCCTATACAGAACAAAAAATTAAGGTAATCTAGCTTGTTAGGACTGTAGCACTCAGGAGTTATACAGATCTGTTGCTCTGAAACAGATATTACAAATAAATATATGGTTAGACAAAACAGTCCTCCAAATGATTATTAATGGTAAGAGTTTTTATTTAGATGGGTTATTTACCTTGCTAGAGAGGAGCCTCAGAGAAATTATTCACTCTTAGGACACACAGGCTCACCCTTAGGAATAAACCAAACCTCATTGTGTCTGTTCAAAAGCTTCATTGGGCTGCAAAACACACACAATAATAAACATAAGAAATGAAGACATAACAGAATGTAGGTCTCAGAATGGAGGTATCATTAGGAAGCGCACCTGTTAAAGCCAACATTATAATAATAGTCTGTCTCATATGTAGCCTTTAAACTGTCCAGCGCTGTCTTAAGACTTTTAGCCTGTGATTTGGCCACGACTGACATCATCCAGCCCCCGTAGCTTCTGACGTACATCTTCATATCCGGAGTGTCTGTGAAGTATACCTGCAAATACATTGAAGATGGTTAATAAAGGGAGGGAGATGGGGAAGGATATCCAGTAGAATATCCCAGAGACTCACAGATGGATCCGTAGGTTTGGGTGGGTTGGCCTGGTACTCGGAGGGCAGGAGGAAGCTGAGGACGTAGACTGAGGACTGCAACATGGTCGCACTCGCATTGACTTTAATGATGACTGGTGCAGTCATGTCAATCTTGGCCCCTAGAAAATGAGGCATATCATTTGATTGTAAGGGCGAATCACATAAAACTTGTAAAAGAATTCACCCTAGCCATAAACCCCCAAAATCTATGGCCTCCAAATTGCATTACCATGCATATAAACAAACAAATACAATCAATAAGTTATGACAACATGTTTTTATTCTTAAAAGTAATTTAAGCAATTTTTATCTTTATAAGATTAAACTAATTTGTAATTTAAGTTGAAATAACTTAAATTTTTAAGTATAACCAACATGGATGTTTAAGGCAGCATGTTTTTTTGCAGGGTAAATAAAAATAAAAATGATTTCCATTTGTATAATATGATATATTGTATGGTAGCCATTTGTAGGCAACATTACTGTATTTGTTGTAGTTTAATACAGTGATGCGCGAGTAATGAGAAATATAATTTAGCATGATGGGAATTAAAATGTCTAAGCATTATAGTCATGTTTCTATACAAAATATCGGTATGTTGAAATCCCTGACCCAATGTCAATCTCGCGTGCATTATATAGGTACGCTAATGGTATAGTAGCGTTGATCGTTTTTTCCTACAATGGAAATCAAT